TGACACTGGTGTCTTTGGAACACAACACTAGAGAGGTGACACTGGTGTCTTTGGAACACAACACTAGAGAGGTGACACTGGTGTCTTTGGAACACAACACTAGAGAGGTGACACTGGTGTGTTTGGAACACAACACTAGAGAGGTGACACTGGTGTCTTTGGAACACAACACTAGAGAGGTGACACTGGTGTCTTTGGAACACAACACAAGAGAGGTGACACTGGTGTCTTTGGAACACACAACAGAGGTGACACTGGTGTCTTTGGAACACAACACTAGAGAGGTGACACTGGTGTCTTTGGAACACAACACTAGAGAGGTGACACTGGTGTCTTTGGAACACAACACTAGAGAGGTGACACTGGTGTCTTTGGAACACAACACTAGAGAGGTGACACTGGTGTCTTTGGACACAACACTAGAGAGGTGACACTGGGTGTCTTTGGGACACAACACTAGAGGTGACACTGGTGTCTTTGGGACACAACACTAGAGAGGTGACACTGGTGTCTTTGGAACACAACACTAGAGAGGTGACACTGGTGTCTTTGGAACACAACACTAGAGAGGTGACACTGGTGTCTTTGGAACACAACACTAGAGAGGTGACACTGGTGTCTTTGGAACACAACACTAGAGAGGTGACACTGGTGTCTTTGGGACACAACACTAGAGAGGTGACACTGGTGTCTTTGGAACACAACACTAGAGAGGTGACACTGGTGTCTTTGGGACACAACACTAGAGAGGTGACACTGGTGTCTTTGGGACACAACACTAGAGAGGTGACACTGGTGTCTTTGGGACACAACACTAGAGAGGTGACACTGGTGTCTTTGGAACACAACACTAGAGAGGTGACACTGGTGTCTTTGGAACACAACACTAGAGAGGTGACACTGGTGTCTTTGGGACACAACACTAGAGAGGTGACACTGGTGTCTTTGGAACACAACACTAGAGAGGTGACACTGGTGTCTTTGGAACACAACACTAGAGAGGTGACACTGGTGTCTTTGGAACACAACACTAGAGAGGTGACACTGGTGTCTTTGGAACACAACACTAGAGAGGTGACACTGGTGTCTTTGGAACACAACACTAGAGAGGTGACACTGGTGTCTTTGGAACACAACACTAGAGAGGTGACACTGGTGTCTTTGGGACACAACACTAGAGAGGTGACACTGGTGTCTTTGGAACACAACACTAGAGAGGTGACACTGGTGTCTTTGGAACACAACACTAGAGAGGTGACACTGGTGTCTTTGGGACACAACACTAGAGAGGTGACACTGGTGTCTTTGGAACACAACACTAGAGAGGTGACACTGGTGTCTTTGGAACACAACACTAGAGAGGTGACACTGGTGTCTTTGGGACACAACACTAGAGAGGTGACACTGGTGTCTTTGGGACACAACACTAGAGAGGTGACACTGGTGTCTTTGGAACACAACACTAGAGAGGTGACACTGGTGTCTTTGGACCACAACACTAGAGAGGTGACACTGGTGTCTTTGGAACACAACACTAGAGAGGTGACACTGGTGTCTTTGGGACACAACACTAGAGAGGTGACACTGGTGTCTTTGGAACACAACACTAGAGAGGTGACACTGGTGTCTTTGGGACACAACACTAGAGAGGTGACACTGGTGTCTTTGGGACACAACACTAGAGAGGTGACACTGGTGTCTTTGGAACACAACACTAGAGAGGTGACACTGGTGTCTTTTGGACACACAACACTAGAGAGGTGACACTGGTGTTTTTGGACCACAACACTAGAGAGGTGACACTGGTGTATTTTGGACCACAACACTAGAGAGGTGACACTGGTGTCTTTTGGAACACAACACTAGAGAGGTGACACTGGTGACACTTGTCTTTGGACACAACACTAGAGAGGTGACACTGGTGTCTTTGGGACACAACACTAGAGAGGTGACACTGGTGTCTTTGGGACACAACACTAGAGAGGTGACACTGGTGTCTTTGGGACACAACACTAGAGAGGTGACACTGGTGTCTTTGGGACACAACACTAGAGAGGTGACACTGGGTGTCTTTGGAACACAACACTAGAGAGGTGACACTGGTGTCTTTGGAACACAACACTAGAGAGGTGACACTGGTGTCTTTGGGACACAACACTAGAGAGGTGACACTGGTGTCTTTGGGACACAACACTAGAGAGGTGACACTGGTGTCTTTGGGAACACAACACTAGAGAGAGGTGACACTGGTGTCTTTGGGACACAACACTAGAGAGGTGACACTGGTGTCTTTGGGACACAACACTAGAGAGGTGACACTGGTGTCTTTGGGACACAACACTAGAGAGGTGACACTGGTGTCTTTGGGACCACAACACTAGAGAGGTGACACTGGGGTGGTGTTTGGGACACAACACTAGAGAGGTGACACTGGTGTGTTCTTTGGGACACAACACTAGAGAGGTGACACTGGTGTCTTTGGAACACAACACTAGAGAGGTGACACTGGTGTCTTTGGGACACAACACTAGAGAGGTGACACTGGTGTCTTTGGAACACAACACTAGAGAGGTGACACTGGTGTCTTTGGAACACAACACTAGAGAGGTGACACTGGTGTCTTTTGGGACACAACACTAGAGAGGTGACACTGGTGTCTTTGGAACACAACACTAGAGAGGTGACACTGGTGTCTTTGGGACACAACACTAGAGAGGTGACACTGGTGTCTTTGGAACACAACACTAGAGAGGTGACACTGGTGTCTTTGGAACACAACACTAGAGAGAGGGACACACTGGTGTCTTTGGGACACAACACTAGAGAGTGACACTGGGGTATTTTGGGACACAACACTAGAGAGGGTGACACTGGTGTCTTTGGAACACAACACTAGAGAGGTGACACTGGTGTCTTTGGAACACAACACTAGAGAGGTGACACTGGTGTCTTTGGGACACAACACTAGAGAGGTGACACTGGTGTCTTTTGGGACACAACACTAGAGAGGTGACACTGGTGGTTTTGGGACCACAACACTAGAGAGGTGACACTGGGGTATTTGGGACACAACACTAGAGAGCCGACACTGGTGTATTTGGGACACAACACTGGAGAGGTGACACTGGTGTCTTTGGGACACAACACTAGAGAGGTGACACTGGTGTCTTTGGGACACAACACTAGAGAGGTGACACTGGTGTCTTTGGAACACAACACTAGAGAGGTGACACTGGTGTCTTTGGGACACAACACTAGAGAGGTGACACTGGTGTCTTTGGAACACAACACTAGAGAGGTGACACTGGTGTCTTTGGAACACAACACTAGAGAGGTGACACTGGTGTCTTTGGACACACAACACTAGAGAGGTGACACTGGTGTCTTTGGAACACAACACTAGAGAGGTGACACTGGGGTCTTTGGAACACAACACTAGAGAGGTGACACTGGTGTCTTTGGGACACAACACTGGAGAGGTGACACTGGTGTCTTTGGGACACAACACTAGAGAGGTGACACTGGTGTCTTTGGAACACAACACTAGAGAGGTGACACTGGTGTCTTTGGGACACAACACTAGAGAGGTGACACTGGTGTCTTTGGAACACAACACTAGAGAAGTGACACTGGTGTCTTTGGAACACAACACTAGAGAGGTGACACTGGTGTCTTTGGGACACAACACTAGAGAGGTGACACTGGTGTCTTTGGAACACAACACTAGAGAGGTGACACTGGTGTCTTTGGGACACAACACTGGAGAGGTGACACTGGTGTCTTTGGGACACAACACTAGAGAGGTGACACTGGTGTCTTTGGACACAACACTAGAGAGGTGACACTGGTGGTCTTTGGGACACAACACTAGAGAGGTGACACTGGTGTCTTTGGGACACAACACTAGAGAGGTGACACTGGTGTCTTTGGGAACACAACACTAAGAGAGGTGACACTGGTGTCTTTGGAACACAACACTAGAGAGGTGACACTGGGTCTTTTTGGGACACAACACTAGAGAGGTGACACTGGTGTCTTTGGGACACAACACTAGAGAGGTGACACTGGTGTCTTTGGAACACAACACTGGAGAGGTGACACTGGTGTCTTTGTGGCACAGCACTAGAGAGGTGACACTGGGGTGTTTGGGACACCATACTAGAGAAGTGACACTGGCGTCTTTGGAACACAAGACTGGAGAGGTGACACTGAGGTCTTTGGGACACAACACTAGAGAGGTGATACTGGGGTGTTTGGGACACCATACTAGAGAAGTGACACTGGCGTCTTTGGAACACAATACTGGACGGGTTACCTCGGTTAGACTAGTGGTCGCAGGACACAAGAAATTACCAGAAGGCGAGGTTTCTTTGGAACGCAACACTAGAGGGGTCACATAACACAAGAGAGGTGACACTGGTGTCTTTGGAACACAACAGTAGAGAGATTACAGAAAACAAACAAGTGGTCTGAGGACACAGCGAGACCAAACATCCATCGAGGTTTCAACCAGAAGGATAGTTATACATGTAATGATTTAAGAATGAAGGCAGGCATGGTCATTTTGACTAGAAAGGTGACATTGGGACACCTTTGTCCTCAGTCCCCCTCTCTTGTACTTCAACCACCACCTTTCCAACCCCAACCTGCACACCCCACCATTCCTCAACCCCATTTGGCTGAAACAAATCTGACACCAAGACGATCATCTGTTTGACCGTGTTGAACTGAGCTATATCTTTTGTTGAAATTAAAGTTATGGACGATTTAGTCCGACCTGAATTGTCTACAACACGTCGACATGGCGAAGGAACACCTCCGCTCAGTCCCATCTCAGTATGTGTTCAGTGTTCCTCCTGTTCTGGACATATGTCATCAGTTAAAATCATCTAACAGCCCTGAACACGGTAGGCAGGATAGTTATGCAAGGAAACACACATCTATTGAAAAGAAAATTAAACCTACATATACTAAAAAGCCTAATATTAACTTTACCCATCAGCCTCTAAATCTCTGCGGAAGTTTATCACACCGCTTCTGTACAGATAGCAAAATAGTTCATCGGGAATTGATTCAATCAGGGTCAAGGTCGTTAGTGGAGGACATGCGCGTGGGTCATGAAAGGATGAGGTAGACCACCGAGGACCAATCAGAAAGTAGCATTTACAGCATGAAGCCAGTCTTCATGCCTCCGAAGATGCCCTTCTTCTTTGGCTTGTCCTGTTTGGCTGAAAGAAAATAAGTGGATTTTAGCCACTGTCGTGATACAACATAGTTGAAGGAATATCTGCGACCTTGTTGAAAAGCACTGACATTCAAGAACAAATTTAACTGTTTCTGTTGAGTATATAAGAATCCACATTCCCTACCTGGAACGGTGTCGGCCTTGGGAGCTGCAACAGCAGCTGCAGCGTTTTCACCACTGGAGAGGTCAGTACCAGCTGCAGCAGACTGGACCCTCTCCAAGGCAAGAGCTGCAGCTGCTCTCTTCTCCTCCAGCGCTGCATAATTGTGAGCCTTCTCCAATGCCTCTGCCTCCAGTCTCTTCACCATCAACGTTGCAGGGGACCCAGCGTTCTTCGAAGAATATGCCGACACTCTCTCGGCTTCCAGAGCTGCAAAAATCATGGCGTCTTTCCAGACAGCATATCCAGCATCTGCTGCAGCAGTAGCAGCCTCGGCCTTCTCGACAGCGGTGGCGGCGTACGTCTCAGCGGCTTGCTGATCTTCCCCCCGCTTCTGCATCTCTTGTCTCTGATCTATTGGACCGAAAGATTGTAGGTGAGTTAGATTGGAAAATAGACCCGACCAATAATCACCCAGTAGAGTTGTAAATATGGGCTGGATTGGAAAACAGCGTTGATGGTCAACTGGTGAATTATTTTATCTAGCAAGCTGAGTGTAACTTCCATTTCTGTTAGAACATAGCCTCACAGTAACCTGTACTTGTCGTTAGTGAAAACTAAATGTTAATCGATGCTCATGCTGTCAATCACTGGATTGTCTGGTCCTGATCGCCATGACTTAGCTAGATTGTTGATGAGTGCGGCATTATAGAACGACAAAGGAAATTCAAGGATCGGTACATGTGTCATGTAGTTCTAAACAATACCTACCATCGCGGTATTTGAGGTATCTCTGAAATTCATATACGGCTAGAGCCAAACCGTGAAGAAAGATCATCTTGCTCTCAGCGCTGTCGGAAGACAAAATGAAAATATATTTGTTATCATTTCCAAAGTGATACATTGTGTGTCTGAGACTTTCCACCTTCTTTCAATATACGATTAATCAGATGTGATGTGATGTGAAATTGGGATTAACGTCGTGCTTGAGAATATTTCGCTCATATGACGACGTGCATGCGTGTATATGTGTATGTGCGGCTGCTTGTACTAGCCCAGACTTAAGCTGGTTTTATAGTGCTAGCCCACTGAGATACCATGCCGCAGTGAAGCATGAATACCCCACTCAGACACATTATACTGACTCCGAGCCGACCAGTCCTTGTTGTACCCATTAATGCCGAGCGCCAGGCAGGGACCAACAAGTACCATATTTTAACGTCTTTTGGTATGACGCGATCGGGGATCGAACCCGCGACCTTCCGCTCTCCGGGCGGACGCTCTAACCACTACACCACGGAGGCGGTCCCGATTGGTCAGAACACAGACGTGTCCCGGGAACCTTTTCCGTCATACTGCGTTTCTTCGTAACATATCCTCATTTTACAATAACGGTGACTATTAAGGAGGAAACAACTATTACGATATCGATAGTCTATTGCGACCAACTCTTGGAATACTATTGCAATAGTTTTGGTTTTTCCTCCTTGAATTGTCTCACATGAAATCACTTCCCAAATGAATGTATACTTTACATGAAAGTTGAAGTAGTTTCAGTCTCTTTAAATAACTGACAAGAAACTTGAAACCCAAGCAAGTAACCAGTTAAAACAATGAAGCTGCAAATCTGCACCCAAACAATGAACAAACAACATTTAATAAATATAAAAAACCATCCAAATACCCATTTATCAACGGAAGTCAATTACTAAAATCTAGATAGTCACACACACTATCGATGCATCGATAGTTTTTCTTTTCTACCATCGATTAATTGCTATCGGAGACTCAACAACTGCAATCCATCGACAGTTCAATGCATCGTTACAGCCTTATTTTACAACTATATAATACGATCTTTAATACGATATGTAAACACAAGATGCGTTTTGCTCTTTCGGTGTCCAGTACATGCATTTATGTTGATTGAGTTCCAGAAGATAGGGACGGTGGGGTAGCCTAGTGGTTAAAGCGTTCGCTCGTCACGCCGAAGGACCAGGTTCGATTCCCCACATGGTTACAATTTATGAAGCCCATTTCTGGTGTCCCCCGCCGTGATATTGCTGGAATATTGCTAAAAACGGCGTAAAACCATACTCAGTCAGTCAGTCAGTCCAGAAGATATAGCGTTTAGGACAATATATTTTGTAAGCATCGTATAGCGCAAAACAAATTTATACCACATTCTCCTATTTTGTAAATTCAGTGCGTTAGGACAAAAAGTATAACTTAGGAATAGTATTTTCATTGGAGGATAACATTGAAACAAACGTGAGTGAGCGAGTTTAGTTTTACGCCGCACTCAGCAATATTCCAGCTATATGGCGGCGGCCTATAAATAATCGAGTCTGGACCAGACAATCCAGGGATCAACAGCATGAACATCGATCTACGAAGTTTGGATACGATGACATGTGTCAACCAAGTCAGCGATTCTCACCACCCGATCCCGTTAGTCGTCTCTTACGACAAGCATGGGTTACTGAAGATCAATTCTAACCCGGACCTTTACGGGTCATGAAACAAAAGAATTACATTAAGAACACTATAAACACCCCCTTTATATTTATGTTGTGTAACGCGGAAAAATTAGCAACGAAGCTGACTGTCTATGCCAACTGTGCACAAAGGACAATATCTATCGAAATAGACACATGCAGGATGAAAGTGAGTAAGTGAGTGAACGAGTGAGTTAGTTGGGTTTTACGCCGCTTTTAGCGGTGTTCCAGCAATATCACCCCGGGGGCATACCAGAAACGGGAATCACACATTGTACCCATGTGGAGGAATCGAAACCGGGCTTTCGGCGTGACGAGCTAACGCTTTAACCATTAGGCTACCCCACCGCCCTACATGCGGGGTGTATCACGGGAGAAGTAGATTAACCGTCTTTATCAGCAGCACATTGATGTCCCATATTAACCTTAGAAACTTTTGTATCAAATCAGTGTCTGAAAATTCCGGGTTTAAAAATGATTGAAGTCGTCTTGTACCATTTGCTGGTAAATGGTCAACTGGGTTTGTTAACCACGGCTGGGGACGGGTTCGAATCCCCGATTGCAAGTGTAAACGAAGATTCAATTTGCTAAAGCTTACGTAATTATAACCTGAATCGTTTACAATCTGGCATTACACATATTACGAAACGTGTCACCTACCTCGCTTCGATCAGGTGATATGACAGCGCCTAAAACGACGTGGAACAACAGCGGCAGCAACAAGACGTCCGACTAAGGCGGCGATGCGCTGACAATTAAGGCGTAACTATGCGGAGTCGTCTATGACGTCACTTCCCGCATAACGGAGCAAAGATTGAATGACGGTGAATATTATATACCAGTCTGAATTTGGTTAATAAATGACAGAACACATCACTTCATCACAAAGTAATGGACTCATGTCAGGGAGGTTATGATCTGAATCGACTTGTACACCTCAAAACTAAAGCTAAACCTGCTTTTGACGCATGTAATGGATGTATCGTAAGGAAATACAAACAGTTGTTGTTCGTGAATTTTCTTTTATTGTGAGTGAGTGAGTGAGTGAGTGAGTTTTAGTTTAATTTTACCAATATTCCAGCAATATCATGACGGGGGACAGCAGAAATGGGCTTCACACATTAATTGTACGGGTCCATGGGTCTTCGGCGTAACGGGCGAACGCTTTAACCAGTAGGCTACCCCACCGCCCTCTTTTATTGTTGTTACAATCGTCACTGAGTGAGTAACGATAATCATGATTATATTGCACTTCACTATAAAAGTGCTAAGCCGGCGAATAAAAATATTTATATATATGTTCGTTTGTTTATCTACTGGAAGGGGATTGGGGAGGCTAAAAGCTAAACATATCAAAGTCAATATTTAAAGAAAGCCATCTCTTCAAAATACGAGACTGTGTTTAACATCGTGCAGCAATGTATCAACTGTTATACACTGGGGCCGGTGGGGTAGCCTAATGGTTAAAGCGTTCGCTCGCAACGCCGAAGACCTGGGTTCGATTCCCCTCATGGGTACAGTGTGTTTGGTGTCCCCCGCCGTGATGTTGCTGGAATATTGCCAAATGCGGCGTAAAAACAATACTCACTCTCTGCTATACATGGTACCTGGGGATTCAGTAAGGGGCAGTAGTGTGCTATGTTTGTACTAGATTCAGACAGAATGATCTTGTAAATGCTTCAAGGAGCTTTTTCCTCAAAAAGTATACATAAGGGGAGTTAACTCTTGTGTTTTATTTCACATTAAATATGACGCCACAAGGACACCAACAATGTGTTTGATGATCATACTCTGCTTCCAAGTTGGACTACTGTTGTTGACAGGTGAATATTACCATTGTATATATTGCTATAATCACTGTTCATGTTGGTTGGTTGTTTTACGCCGCACTCAGCAATATTCCAGCTATATGGCGGCGGTCTGTCAATAATCGGGTCTGGACCAGACAACCCAGTGATCAAACGCATGAGCATCGATCTACGCAATTGGGAACCGATGACATGTGTAGACCAAGTCAGCGAGCCTGACCACCCGATCCCGTTAGTCGCCTCTTACGACAAGCATGGGTTACTGAAGATTCAGTCTAACCGGATCTTCTTAGGTACACCGTTCATGTATTGTATTACGTCTGAATTTGTACTGCCACAGTGATACCTTTATATTGATTTGTGAATCACATCACATAACTTTGTTGTTCGTTGCTGTCACACCGAGTTCTTCTCGGTTAACAATTTAGTTTTAACTAAACTGATTTTAACTAAACTTCTAGACTAATTCTCGGTTAACAATTTAGTTTTAACTAAACTGATTTTACATAAACTTTTGGACTAATTCTCGGTTGACAATTTAGTTTTAACTAAACTGATTTTACATATAAACTTCTGGACTAATTCTCGGTTAACAATTTAGTTTTACATAAACTTCTGGACTAACTAAACTGATTTTACATAAACTTCTAGACTAATTCTCGGTTAACAATTTAGTTTTTAACTAAACTGATTTTACATAAACATCTAAACATCTGGACTAATTTTAACTCGGTTAACAATTTAGTTTTAACTAAACTGATTTTACATAAACTTTTGGACTAATTCTCGGTTGACAATTTAGCTTTAACTAAACTGATTTTACATATAAACTTCTGGACTAATTCTCGGTTAACAATTTAGTTTTATCTAAACTGATTTTACATAAACTTCTGGACTAATTCTCGGTTAACAATTTAGATTTAACTAAACTGATTTTACATAAACTTCTGGACTAATTCTCGGTTAACAATTTAGTTTAACTAAACTGATTTTAACTAAACGTCTAGACTAATTCTTAGTTAACAATTTAGTTTTAACTTGGGAAATCAACAGGTAACAGCAATTGGCAAGCATGTGGCCTAGAATGTTAGACCCTTAAAAAAAGTCACAATGGTCAGATCTAAAATGTGCGCCAAAATTATCGTCTTTATGTCAATCATTAAGAAAAACGGGCGGTCCTACTGGGGTGAAAGTGAAACAGCGGTCGGGGCGTGGAGTGGGCTTGGGTTTTGTCATGTGACGAGCACGTTATCTACACATTTGTCCGCTCAATGTCACTGTTAAGAATATGACATATTTGTTAATTCATAAAAAATCGTAAATGTCCGTATGTTTTGCTTAACCAGTATACTCCACAACATTATAGAGTCACCCTGGCTTCACATACTCAATGGAATACATTAGAAATGTTTATGCTAAAAATAGCAGACAGCTCCACAAAAGGCATTTAACATCCAAGATCGAAATCGGTTTGTGAGAGATACGTTTGTAGAGAAGTAGAGTCATCTTGGAGACTATTTTTCAAAGCTGTTGATCCTTGATGCTAAACATAATATCTCGACGTCGTACAATGTATGATAGTAGTGTGTGGTTATCTCCCTTTCGAATCGCTTAAGAGTTCTCTTTCCTTTCAAGCACAGTCTCAAAATGGTGGCAAATCTTTGGCCACACCCGGAGTAGTGTGTCGTACAGACCCTGAAGCAAATTTATCCAAGAAAGCCCATGCAAGTCTAGAAAATGTGGCAAGTCTAGATTTCCTCAGCTTAAAGAAAGTCTCAGGGCTCCTTTTCATTATATTATATTTTTTTTGCTATGAACTTTTTCAGTAAAATATGTTCATTTCAGGGACTAGTTGTTAGTCTAACCCCGGAGCAGCGATGACTATACTGAATGTAAACAAACGCGCATGTGCAAGAAAATGGGTAGCTTTCAATCCGATATAGATACGATTTTGCATTTTTATGTTGAAATCTCATCAGAGGGAAACTTTTAAGTATATTTATACGCAAGAACGCGACTGTTTCCCCGTACCGGGTACGGCAAACCCTTGATCTTTCACCTGGGCTTCCTTTCACAAAGCGCTAAAAAAAGGTGATCGTAAGTCACTAAGGTAACCTTAGTGCAGTGTTAAAGAATGGGAGTTAAGGTTAACCTTAGTAAAGGTTGCTTCGTGAAAGGACCCCCTGCTTGGCCCGCTTCTACGCCAGAAGAAAGGTTATGATTCAGGATCTTTCCTGGTGGTATCTGCCATGGAGGTATCAGGTGAACAGCATCAGAAAGCGTGGCCTCAGGGGTGTAGACTGAGTGTCAGTGGTAAAGGGACCACCCTTCGATATGATTATGACTTCACTGAATATTGTATGGTAAGTTTGTGTCCCATTTTGTTTACAATTATTATCAGCCAAAGTTTATACATAAGTGCAAATAGAATATTTATAATACTTCGAAAAACAGTTTCTGTGAACTAAGGAGACTGATAGCAGTATCGCAATATTTGGCCATGTCCGTGTCAAAATAGTTCAGGTAAAATCTCATTGATAAAAGAATAAAATAAATGGGTTTTCCACATCTATGTACAGCCCAAGTTACGCCCTCCGAAAAAACCCATTGGTGTTTACATGATATATACTACTTATAAATTTGACGCAAGGCATGACAAAACCATGACACAGACCCAACTTGATCCATAAGTTCTTATTTTGGCCGTTGCTGCCTTGTCATCCAACAAATACAATGTATATTATATATTATACAATGTTACAATATCTGGTAGTGTGTCAAATGTCGACATATATTTCTAATGTCTGAAGAAAATAATTATATAATTTGTTTAAGAAAAGCGTTAGGCTATTTTGAAAATATAATAGAAAACATGTAATATGGTGAATGTATGTAGGTGAATGTGTATGTAGTTGAATGATGAATTGTGTCATTTGTATATTCCAGGAATGTGAGACTGATGCATCACTTGCAGACGTAGAATCCGGAATGGTGACGTCATCGTGTGCCATCCAGAGGCCTTGTTTTCCACATCACAAGGAGACACTTTGCTGAACAGTAGAGCCTCTCAACAGAATGTTCTTGCAGTGGTAATTGATGCGTGTCACACAGTAGACCAGAGGTAAATATACTGTAATTTGTGCTAGGGTTGATAGTTGCAGCCTCCAATTACAGGACTTTTTGTAGGTAAAGGAGGGTGTTTAATGCAAGTGCGGAAGGTTGTAAGGTCAGTTAAATTACATTTGTGGTGGCATTCCATTGTCTTCTCGCTCCATTATTTATTTGGAGTGGAGTGGTGTGTACCAGTTTCAAATGTAAGATGAGAGTTTGTTTCAGGTGGACATCATACTCTTTGCATTACATTAATAAAATTACCAATACTTTGAATGTAATTTAAGTAGGATAATATCCTCGTAACTCTCAGTTCCTTAAAAATAATAGGATTCGGCTCCATTTTGGGACATTACCCTCTACAAAACTCTACTTGAGTACCTTCAAGATTGACTGTAGTTGTTAATTTTAGGGTTTTGGAAAATACATTTGTATGTGCTTTGTGTATAATGTACTTCGTTTTGTTTACTTTTTACTTTTTAAAATGTGTTAATGCTACGGTTTTACGCCGCTTAGCAATTGAACCTATTATTAGAAATGGGCTTCACAGATTGTACCCATGTGGGAGACCTGGGACAGAGCATTTAACCACTAGGTCACACAGG